GTCCTTCCTGTCCCTTGTCCACTCCTTTTCCTCACATCCCCTCTCGCTCCACGGGAGATTAATGATTTTGGATATGCTACGAAAATCCAACCGAGACAACAAAACAATTGCAAACTGTGAAAAGCGCCAATCACCTGTTTTTAAAATTTTAAAAGTTTACTAGTAATAAAATGGTTATAAAAATAGTAATACAATTAGAGTAATAACAATTTGGACAAATTGAATTAAGACAATAAAAACAAAGAGTTACGGACGTCTGGGTACCTTTTCTGGGCAGCACGAGCCCAAAAAAGGACACCCGTTAACAAAGGATTAACCCTTAAAAACAACAGCCTGTTGCATATTCATACACTTCATCCATGATGCATAAATTCAATTCAAATACAGGATTCTGTCTGGTCATTGCCAGCTTCTTCCTTCTAATCCTAACAGCGACTTCGAGGCGGGAAGAAGTTTGTTTCTTCCGATAAGAAGGCAATAAATTCCTTTTCTGTGAAAGATTCAGGTGTCCTGTGGCTGCTATCTCACTGCAAGTCCTTTCTTTTAAACAAAGCATCTTACATAGCAGAGTTTCTATTTTAACAATTTTTATAACCTAAAACTATATTTAACACAGTACTTAAGAGAATTAATACAGCATTGCTTTCTAACACAACACATACATATTCATTTTAATATTTGCGAAAAGCCAGTCATAAACTACATGCATTTTTCACACAAACTCAGCACAAATGAAAAGCAGAGTGGGTTTCTTCCCCCCTAAATCTGTAAAGAACAAACCCTGACACTTCCCCAGTTGCTGGAGGAAAGAGATTACGGTCATTCCTGAACCTTTCCAACCACCAGGCAGGAGGGAAAAGCACAGTCTGCAATGACAAGCTGTCAACACTCGGCGAGCAGCGTGGCTCTGGTTTGTGACACTGAGATTTCCCCTGCAGAGCCAGGCTCGTGGGCACCAGCAGCCCTCACCACATGCAGTGGCAGCCCTGAAAATGCCCAGATGTCTCTACCTGTCCTAAAGCACAGCCCCCACCCGAGCAGCCAGGATTTAAAAGATAAGAGAACCATTTGTTTTGAATTATGGGATTTAAAAAAAACAAAAATCCAATGGTTCTGAGGAATTTTGGTTTTTAAATCAAAGCCACAGGACAGAGCAGATAATCAAAGCCACAGGTGATTGGAGCAGATAATAAAATCTCATTATCTCTCATTTACTCCTGTCAAGAAGTAGAAGTTAATTTTTGCTGTAGCAAAATCATCAGGAACATCCATCCAGCTTCAGTAGTTTTGGATCTAAGAAAAATTTATGTTAACAAAAGGATGGTTTGATTTATACCAATGGCTTAAGCTATCATTCTTCTTGAGTTTCAAAGCAGTCATTGGTAGCTAACCATTAATCTTTTGCAGGCTTATGATGGTTTACAATCGCTTTCAGCGTGTTTCAGCACTCAACCACCTGAGGCAGGAGGTTCATTCAGCTAATTCTGCAATATTTCTAATAGCCAATCACTTCAGGGATTTTTATTTCAAGGGGACCTACAGGAAAGATGAGGACAGGCTTTTATCAGGCCCCACTGCAATAGGACAAGAGATAATGGTTTTAAGGTAAAAGAAGGCTGAATTAGAATGGATATAAGGATGTTTTTTACAATGAAGGTGGTAAAAGAGGTCACCCAGAGGTGGATATCCCATCCCTGGAAATATTCATGGGGCTCTGAGGAACCTGGGCTACTTGAACATGTCCCTTCCCATTGCAGGGGGGTTGTACTAGATGGTCTTAAAATATTTTACATTTGGAGGATCTTTAATGATTCTGTGATAACACTGTTCTGGCACTATAATTAAGAAAAACTAGAAATTAATTTTTAAAAATAAGAAAAAATTGTAAGAAAATTGAGGTTCCAGATGAAAGTTCAAACTTCAATTTCAAAAGTCTGCACTGCACTTAGCAAACAGCAATGGAACAGAATTGCAAGCAAAGTGCAAAACACCACTCAACCCCAAGGGCAGGACACTCCCCAGACACCCTGCACTTGAAGTTCTGTGCTCTATAGTGCTCTCAGAAATAGGAAAAAAACCCAAAAAACAACTGAAACAACAAACTAAAAACCTGCACTGGAGTTCACATGCATTTCTAAAGCGCAGCCATGGAACTGTTTGTGCTCAGGGCACTGTGATTGATGGCACAGCACAATCACTCCCTGGCCTGATAAGCAGGCACTGGCTTGACTCAGTCTTTATTTGTGAATAAAGTGAATTTTCCAAGCACCTTCCTGTGATGTGCAGTTCCAAAAGGAACCTCTGCACACGGAGATGGTTTCCCACCCCTGTCACAAGGGAGCAAAGGTTTTTGCCTTTTCCCCACGCAGGCATTCCATCCTGTGAGTCAGGCTGACACCTCAGACACAGCACACAGACATTAGTCCCAAACTGCTGTCCCCCTGACCAAGACACAGATGTGCTTCTGCTAGAATTATCTGGCTCCTAGAAAAATCTATGATCTCTAAATTTTAATAATTGAAAATATTGACAAGCAAAAATAAAGTGCACCTACCCAAGTGACAACGATTTTACATAAAAACAACACTGCTTCAATAACTACCTTGCTTTCTCTATTTCTACACACCCTGAAAGTCAACTGCAACAATTTGAAATCCTCTCTCCTCCAAAGCTGCTGCTGTTAGCACTGAAGTTGCTGTATTATTTAAGTGCTGAGGTTCAGAGTTCTCCAGCAGCAGAAAGGAACTGCATCTACCTTCAGTGGCTCCCAAGACAGAAGCTGCTATGCTTGAACTGGAGCAGGAAGAGCAGCAGCAATAAAAAGGAAAGGAATTTAAGGACAGGTATGTTCCAACTTGTTATGTGACAATAGCACCGAATGTGTTTTCCTAAACTTTCCACTAATTAAAGCCTGCTTATTTTAGTCTAGTTTAAGAGGCTACTGGACCTTGAAATAATGTACCTGAATTCCTTGCTCTGCCTTTGCCCCCTCCAGCAGAAAGCAGAATTACCCTCATCATTTTTCAGGCCAGGGTGACTTTCCAAATATCTTGCTAATCAAAGTAGCATTTACAGCTCAGGACAGCACTGACCTTCAGGTCTTTGTCCAAATATCCCAACCAACCTTTTTAACAACATAGCAAGAACCTGAAAGAGGCAGAGACAAGTGCCCTGGATGCATTTCACCCTTCCTGCACCCATCCTTGCAAGGGGCTCCTCCTGCTGCTCCAGAAGAGACCTTCGAGTAGTTCTGATATTCAATTCAGCACCTGATGCTGAGCTGTGTCATGCTGATGCTTTAATGGGATTCTTTCCATGTCTAGAGGAGCTATCTCCCCCAAATTCCACAGGGATTTTTAATTTATTAGCTACAGCTAAGGGCACATGTGTTGTTTTTAATAGCAAACGTGTGTTTTGCAGACCAGGCTGCATCTCATCAAAGATTCCTTGGTGCCACACTCCCAGGAAAACAGCAGTCAGCCCAGCATGGCAGTCTTAAATAAAGCAGGGGGTTGCAAGGTGTAAGGCAGCTCTGCACACATTTGCTGTCAAAGAATCACAGCATCTCAGCTGCTGCAAGAAGCAGATTGCCATTGTTTTATCAAGGAAAATCACAGATTGGAAAAACAGACTAGAAACCACCTTGCCCTAAAAAAAATTAATGGTTAGCTATTGCTTTTTGTGGAGAGGTTGTGTCTGGTATTGAGCTGGAAACAGGATCAGTCCTCAAAGGTCAGAACAGGCTCACTCTTTTCTTTGCACAGCATCTTCAGAAGCAATCTGGGGATGGAGTTTGTGTGCACACAGCCACACAGAGATTTAAACAGGAAAAAAAAAAAAAACAAATCCATGCACTTACATAAAAGGCTTTGGGCAGTTTCATTTTCTATTCAGCTGGAAAGGAGTGAAGCAGCATGCACACACACATTTTTAATCACCCTCGTGCTGACAGCAGCCAGTCCCTACTTCTGTTATCAGAACCCCACAGCTTGGATTTCCAGGCTATGAAGCACTAAGGAAGAGGGTATAAAATCTCCTCTGGTTAAAAAAAGCACAGTGATATCATCTAGTATAACACACAAATGCTATAGAATTGAAGTTTGGCCTCACCAGGACATTACTCATTCAGTGGAGGGAGAGGGGAAAAAATCCATAAACATCCAAACAAATAGTAAGGATTTCCTAAGATTAGCTGGTAGCCTGGACCACTCTCATATTCTCTGTGAAAAATGTGTATTTTGTGATTGGCTTTTCACAAATATTAAAATGAATATGATATGTGTTATGTTAGAAACTTATGCTGTATTAATTTCCTTAAGTGGTGTGTTAAACATAGTTTTAGGTTATAACATAATGTTAAAATAGAAACTATGTATGTGAGATTTTATTTTTTAAGAAAGGAATGAGGTACTCACACATCATACATGATGCACAAATAGCAGCCACAGGACACACAAATATTTCAGAGAAAGATAATTTATTGCTCTCTTATCAAAAGAAATGAACTTCTTCCTGCCTTGCTCAGCCCTGAAGACACCATTAGGATTAAGAGGAAGAAGTTGACACTGACCAGACAGAATCCTGTGTTTGAATGGAATTTATGCATCATGTATGAGGTGTATGAATGTGCAACAGGCTGTTGCTTTTAAGAGTTAATCCTCTGTTAACATGGGTCCTTTTTTGGGCTTATTTTGCCCAGAAAGAGGAACCTGGACCACCCATAACTCTTTGTTTTTTATTGTCTCCTATTGTCCTAAACCCTAATTGTCCAAATTTTTATTATATTGCTATTTTTATAACCATTTTATTACTGTTAAACTTTTAACATTTCAAAAACAAGTGATTGGCGTTTTTCACATTCTCTAAGCCCATCAGTCACACTCTGGGATAAACAAGCAAGGCAGGCCAGTCTGTGCATCCAGAATTGAGAGTTTGCAACAGATGCCAGTGGTTGAAGAGACAGAGAGGAGGGAGAGAAGCTGTGCTCGTGTACAACTCACCAGTGATCACTTGTGCAAATGCCACGAGCCTGGGCTTAGAACTTCAGCCTGGGGAGATGCTGTCCCTGCCACTGCTCAATTCAGCTGGCTGGCATCTCTCCAGAGGCACTCAGAAGGCAGCTGCCCAACAGGACAAATCACTGAAAAGCAGAGAAGGAACAGGTTCAGCTTTGCAGTTCCACTGCACATTACACAATGGGTTCAGCTTGCTAATCCCTGACTTCTTAAAATGTGATTGCCCTCAGTGCATGACAGGGAGAAATGCAGTTCTGGTTAGAGTTCATCCACTACTGTCAGTGTGAGTTTCCTAAATACCAGTAATGCCAGAAAGAACTGCTCTGTACAGCTAACAGGAACCTCATGGTCAGGATAACTGAGCAGCCTCCACCATAAACCCTTCAAATTTTGTTATATCTCAGTTTTGAACTGACATTCAAGACTTTCATCCTTTTTTATTTCATGTCTTTATTCATATCCAACACTTCATTCTAACTTATCTGTAACAGGAGCTGCTTCCAGCTTCATAACTGCACTATTCCAGCCACTGACCAGATCTTCAAATTTTAGCAAATCTGACCAATTTACAGCAGGATTTTCTTATGAATTACTCTCTTCAGGCCTTCATTTTGGTATTATCCCTTCCCCATTTCCTCTCCCATTTACAATAAATCAAAATTAATTAAAACACACAGATCAATTAGATATAGCAACAGAACTAGGAAGAAGCAATACTGAGTCAACTCCAATGAGTTGGGACAAGTGAGAATAGGTCAACTCAGCCAATGTGAATTGATCCAGTGGTTGCACATTAGTGTAAAAATGAAGTAGTATATTGTATTAGTTTTTATACTAAATCTTTTCAATCTGCTTACTAATATGACCAGATTCTACTGGTGGTTTATCTCTTAATCATCTATTTCTGCTGAAAACATAACATTTTCATATTTGAAGGGGAGATAAACAAATAATGGGTGGTTTTTTTCTGACCAGGAAAGCCTCACAGAGGAAAGGACAACACATGGGCACATCTTAAGGCTTTTCATTCATGAGCCTCAGCTTTTCCTAGCCCAGGGACCTCAGGAAAGACACTCCAGCCTTTCATGCCCATTTTATTCCCTTCAAAACGTGGATTAAGTCAAGAAGGGAAAGGAAGAAGGGAAAGGAAGAAGGGAAAAGAAAAGAAGCTACTGGAGCAGCAGAGGGTCATAATGATGCTGAGGGGTCTGGAGTATCTCTCTCAAAAGGAGAGTGTGGGAGCTGGGCTTGGTTAGTCCAGGCAAGAGAAAACTGCGAGGGGATCTCATCAATACATATAAACATCTCAAAGGGGTGCCATGAGGATGGTGCCAGGCTCCTTTTTGTGGTACCCAGTGACAGGACAAGGAGCAGTGGCCATAAACTGAAACACAGCAAGTTCCACCTTAACATAAGGAAGAACTTCAACATAAGGAAGAACTTCACACTGGAGCAGCTGCCCAGGGAGGCTGTGGGATCTCCCTTTCCTGGAGATTCACAACCCACCTGTTCTTGTGTAACCTGCTCTAGGTGACCCCTGCCTTGGCAGGGGGGTTGGATGAGATGATCTCCAGAGGTCCCCTCCAAATCCAACTAATGACTGCGTGTGATTCTGTAAGATTTTATTTAAAAATAGGGCAGACTACAGCTCTCTCCTTTCCAATAGTGACTTATAATCTCAGTAGCTTCTTACATAGAAATGAATTCTTCTCAGTAGAATGGAAGACTAAAGAATTCTGCTAAGAAAAGGAAGCAGCAAACAGTAGGACACTTATTGTTTCCAGGCTCCTTATCTCTGAAATTTGTTACAGGTTTTGGGATTCTCATCTGAAAGGCAATGTAACACAAAAAAGGAAAAAAAAAAACAGATTTCAGTGGTGAGTTTCTGAGCTCCTCCTTGCTGATGTGATTCCTCTGTTTGCTGCCCTGGACATGAGCACAGTTAATGAATAATGACTGTGCAAACAAAATATCAGACAATGATGGGAGGGAAGGGTGAAATGATTGTGTGGGAGGCTCAGATTGGATTTGGCAACAATTAGAAAAATTGATGCCCTTTTAATTATAGGAAAAGGCTCTGCTGAAAAGATAAGGCAGACATGACATTCAAAATACTTCAGTCTTTGGATTTAAATGTATGGAAATAGAAAGTTCAAAAGGTTGGGGTTCTTCATTGCGTTTTGCTTTGATGTTAAAAAACACAGCTCTCAAAACTTACATCCAGATGTGTGTGTAAAGCTTCAGCTCAATTCCAAGCTGTCACAGGACAGATTTGATTCGCTTTTATCACTCTCTAGGAATATTATTGACTATGTGTAGGACAAGGTACAGGGCATCTTTGTTTTCCCTTCCAGTAAGAGCCCAAGCCAGCAGAAGTTACAGACACTTGAAGAATCAGCCCAATAATTTATTAACATCATTTAAGATCCTCCCCTAACTGGTTCCACCAAATATATTATCAAAAGAGGGCACCAGAGATTGCTCCCTGTTTGACTGAGGTTGCACAGTGCACATTTCCTTCTCTGCTGTTATTCTCAATTCTGGCAGCTCCTGCCAGGTTCTCACGTGTGAGAAATGCCTGCTACAAGCACATGAAATTAATTATCCCAGTACTCCTTTAGTAGTAATAATATAATAATTATGATATAATGATAAAATGATATCATAATAAAAAAACCTTATAATTATATCCTTTAAAAAGTTAAAAGGGAAAAGGACATTTCTCCACAAAACTCACACACAATTCCTCAATTACAAAATAAATAAAAACCCTCTTGAAGTTTTACTCTGTGCCTCTACAGCTCTTTTTCCTTAATATCATATCTACATGATCATTTCTACAATGAGATATAACCACTTCTAAATAAGAGCTATTACATAAGCCACATTTACTGTCCTAAAATTTATTATCACCATTTCATTATTCAGTATCTTTCATCAGCAGATCTCAAATAGCATTTACAAGATTTAATTGTGTCAAACTACCAACTACCACTGCAGGTGTGACTTCTAAAGTGAAAGCACAATTACACAAGGCAGGATTTATCCAGGAAATATGGACTGTGATACTTAATCTTGCAAAATAGCAGAGATAATTTAAAGCAAGGTATCTACAAAGAATAGTGTGTGTGCCAAAAGACTGTTTGTATTGGTTTTACAAAGAGTGGACAGAATGTTCTTTTCCAAAGAACCACAAAACAAACTTCCTGAACCAATGTGAACTTTCTTTTTGCTTGTATTTAATCCAAGTAAATGTGGCTCAGCCAAACTTATTTAATAAGAAGGGGAAAGAAAAGAATCAATTAGTTTGGCATAACCTTGTCTTGAAAAAGTACAATCACATGCTTCAAAGGGAGGGGAAGTGGTCACCTGAACAGACCTAGAACCGCTGCTTCTCTGGGAAATTAGGAATAACAGTAGGAAAGGGCTTTCTGGACTATTTTTTAAAACATTTATCCCACAGCGTTATAAGCAGCTGTAATTAATTCTCTTCATTTTGGGGTTTTTTTCATGTTTTTAATGCAAGTCTCTTGATGCACACCAGCAGGGTTTGAGGATGTGGAAAAGAAGAGGGGCAGTGTGTGGAGATGGCAATGCTGCACACAGGAAAAAGAAATCAGCACCCACACCAGTTTATTTAACATCATATTCTGTCCCTAAATCAGCCATTTATGTAATCTAGGGGAAAAAAAATAAACTTAAGAAATCCAAAACCAACAAAAAACCTCCTCCAAGTTCAGCTTTTACCTCTCTTGGCCTTTCAGGAGCTGATGGGTAAGTGCACAATGAAAAGCCTTTTTACAAGGCAAAGATAAAAGCATTACTGGTAAGGTCAAAGGAGACAACACATCCTTTAGTGTGATGCATTTGTAATCCCTGTTTTAGATGTACTAATGAATTTAAAATTAAAATATATACACACCGTCTACCTACAGGGAGATACTGAGACCCCCAAAAAACATCTCAATGCCTAACCCTGCAGCAGGTCTGCTTACATGTACATTTGTGAAAGTTTCTTGGCTAACAAAAATGCTCATTTCACCAGATACACAATGCAAAATCCAGCATCTCTAGAAGTACAATTTTTCCCAATGGTCACATTTGCCACACAAGTGCCCATCCCTTTTCTCTGATGGGCAAGGTGCTGCATCATTTTGTCAGAATGCCAAAAGAAAAGGAAGGCTCCACACCACTCATGTACAAGTCAGACCCTTAAAACATTATATTCAAGAGTATAATTTCAAAATGCTGCATTATAATTCCACTATAGAATAGTTATCCTAAAGAGATGGATAAAATAACACCCAAGAGTGGGATGGATACAAAGAGAGACAGAAAATTGAGGGGAAGATAACAGATCTGCAAAATGTATTTCATGTTGCTTATACTGATGCAAAGCTTTGTAGATCCAGTCTGATGTCTAAAAGTTGTACACCTTCACTGCCATAGGAGTTCAAAATTACTATAAATATTATTATTATTATTATCATCATTATTATTGTTATTATTATTGCCGCCTTTTGAGTGTTTATACTTTCCTATGTCCCCTACATCAGTGTCAGACTTGGTTTATTCACAGCCAGATATTAGATTTCAGTGGCTATTGTCACAAGCTGTTTCCTTGTTTACTTCTGCAATTTTTTTAGCTTCAGCTCCTTACAGGGTAGACAATGAAACTTGGTTTTACTTTTAGATTCCTCTTGCCACAGTGTTTGGTTTTCAAACTCTGCAGGGATCAGGTTTAATAAACTGAAAATCAATCAGCACTATTTTTATTTTGAAAGTGGAGACAAATTATATTAGTCTCAGGTATTATTAAAATTCTTTTCATATATTCAGCTTGGATCCACTTCAGAACCTCAGTGCATTAAAGTTACACTGTCAAATATATTCATATGCAAACCCTTATTCTACCTGCTAGAGGCATATCTTAGTAGAAACCCTACAATTATTATTTTTTCAATTGAACCAAGGAAAGATTATTAATAAAAAAAAACCTGCAGAGGCTAAGTTTCTGCTTTACTGAAGTTGGTTTTACATCTCAACAGACCTGGGGTTTCTTGCTAGCACTACAGAAGACAAATCTGTCTCTTTAGATACTCACATGGAGTACACAAAAATCAGA